AAGAAGACGAAGCGATCACTGGAACAAGAGGTTTATTGTCCTGACGTTTAGATTCCCTCGGACAATAAACCTCTTGTTCCAGTGATCGCTTCTTCTTCTTCTCCTGAACTGCTTCCTGGAACTCGGATATCCTCCTTTATTAGTGATGTCATAATTATGCATTTGCCCCCTAAACGGGCCGCGTTGTAGATGCGCTGGACCACCACGGGAAGTAGACAGGGAAACGACAAACGTTATTCAAGTTGCGCTCCAAAAACAAATGCCGAACACGAGGCGGTGTGGTGGTACGCGTAGGTGCGAGTTCGGGCCGCGCCAGCCACCTGCGCCTTCACCTGCCCCTAGAGTTGACACCGAACAAGGAAGGGTGAGTGCGGTAGATGCATCGCAAGTGTACGATCACTTAGAACTACTCGACGCGCAATTCACTGTCCCTGCACCAAACTGCCACGGTAAACCTCGTCGAAAACGACGGTCGAACTGTTGAGTTACCGAATTCTTATTTCCTTAACGTGGAAACGGCGGATTAAGCATTTCTTGGGTCTCACAGGTGCCTTATAAGTGACTTTAAATGTCTGCTCAGCCACCGCGTTCAACCAAGTGAGCCACATCTGTGCTCTAGAGGACATCTAGTCTACCTTGGTTTTATGAAACAAGATAATGCTCTCGCGTCCGCTTCGTTAGGCGTCTATTTGTTCGACTATGCATGCACTTTACAGACTCCTTGCATCCAATCACTAATTTACTTAAGACAGAATATTTGCAGTTTGGTGAAAAAAACACTGTTTGTGCTAAACTGCGAATAGGCCCTAGTTAGTCTAATGCGAATATATTTTGCATGAAACAGAGGCTCTGTGTCTTAATATCCAATTTCGTTTTTCATGTTCATTTCCCATTTTTAAATCAGGCAGCTTGCAAGTATGCAGATCATGTATGTAGTGGACGCAAACGAAATCATTAGGCATATGAGCAGCTGCGCCATTTCTGCAGCTGTTAACTAACCGGCTCCCACAGCGG